TTCATTCCACAAGAATTACGTCATGGTACGATCACACTTTGAAATTACGCTCGACTGAACGCTTCCAGCCACGAAGCTATTACGGTGTGTGTTCATACAGTAACACGATTTCATAAAACAAACGCTAGCCTTCAACTCTACAAGAACAGTACACGTATTGTTTAGAAGAACTCTATATGCAACAACACGTGACTTTATATCATTCGTCCACCGTCCACATTCTAGTAGTAGTACGTCATTTAGCCTAAGATAAACTCTAGACACAACATCCGTTGTATTACCGTGACTTCCACAAGTGTCCTCATCAGGCAACTTGCATTCAGGGGTATCCATAACGTATGGATTCTTGCACAGAAACAAGAAACTGGGAAATTTCTTCTTTGGAGTCAGTGCAAAAATTTTAACATGTTTCATACAATCTGTAATTTACAATATCTGATTCTATATTCTTTCGAGAAAAAAACAGCGTTTATTTCGTTCATCACAGAAATTGCAGAAATAGGAGCAAATTTAGTAAGTCACTACAGTTTTTACGGATTTCTAATCGCGGGTATTTAAATATATTCCGTACGGCTGCCTTTACCGGAATTTAAATGCCCGTAGGATAATCGTTAATGTCCTGTTTGTGCCCATTTTTTGAAACAATACTGTATTAGACTGCCCAGTAATTAGCATAACAAATGATCAACAGAAATCTGGATGATGTGATAGTCAACAAGTCTGCAGGAAGTAGTTTTTATTACCTAGACTTCTACAATGTCAGCTGATGCACATAAAAAATATACTGCATATGGCAGATGGTTATGAATGAAATGAATGAAGTACACATGCAGATGTTGGGTTTCTAAAAAATTAAACTTTCTAAGTATGTAGTCACAAAAAGATAGAAAGATTTAAGTCAGATGCTCATTAATGAATCTGATGTTTCTTTCTACAAAACGAACTTATAGTTGATTTCAATCTTTCATCTCTTTCATACTGCATCATCATCATCAAACACTGTAATTGTACCAATGTTAAACAATTAATACAGAAGGAAAACTTGACCCTTCTTATGAATTCTTTTATGGGCAAACTACAAGTGCAGATGCTATTTCTGGACAAGAAAAATGCAACAAGTATCTGTAAAAAAAATTACCTTTCTGGCCATAATAAGGCCACTAGAGCGATGCATAACCTTCATCACGACACCCCCATTGCCTGTGCCCAGCTCTCCAAGTTTTTCAAAGTCATCATCACTTAATTCACCAATCTTCTCTTTTTGGCACAGGAAGAATTCCATGCGTTTGCGTTGTGTATCATCCATTTGAAGCTCTTCCAGTCTCACCTGAAGTGCTTCAATACTCGTCTTTGCCACTAAAGTACCTCGCCTAAAATAGAAGTACTTCCTATTTAATGTTTGGAGTCTACAGATAATTCTAGAAATATCAAAAAAAGCAGACCTGTGAAAATGCAGTCTTCACTAAAAATATCAGAGACACAATCAGCTGTACTAATATGAAACACTCCTCCTCCAGTAGTTATGAAGATGTACTTAGAAGACAGGAAAAAAAAATCTAAGAGATATTATAGACTTCTGGGTTTCATAGCTCACAATCTAAATTTTCAGTCTCTGAGAAAACCTCAAATCTCATAAACATCTATTTATTCAAGACATGAGAAGTATAGACCCTAGGTACTGAAAGAAATTGGAAAACATAGAAATATTCATGTAAAAATGTTGCTGTAAACTGAAGTGAAATAAAAGGAAAAGAATTCAAGGGACTGCAAAAATTGTAGTAAAAAGTTGTAATAAAACCAATTTTACAAAGACTCTATGTAAATATATACAGAATGTAAATGGTAACTTGCTTTTTGTATAAAATTTGGAATAGTTTCTTTTCCCAAAACTGTATTTACAAAGAATACCTCTCTAAGAGTGTTACAAACTTTGCAAAAATGCTGTTGCAGTTGTTACTGGTGTTGAATGATCAAGTCAATGAGAATGAAATTGGCAGGGCACATAGCATGAATTGGGGAGAATGGTAATGCTTACAGGATATTGGTGGGAAAGCCAGAAAGAAACAGACCACTTGGAAGACCAGGACATAGATGGGAGGGTAATATTAAAATTAATCTTAGAGAGATATGATGAGGTGGTATGAACTTGATCGATCTGGCTCAGGACAGGGACCACTGGAGGGCTCCTGCGAACACAGCTGGGAGCCTTCAGGTTCCAAGAAATGTTGGAAAATTCTTGAGTGACTAAGCATATGGCAACTTCTCAAGGCTTTAGTTCCATAGTTAGTTAAGTAGTTAGTTACTAAGTTACAATTACTAATTATTTTCTCTAATTTATGTCACGTTAGAATCTTGGGAGGCTTCTATTTCCAAAAATATGATCTGGGTTGTTCTGCTACGTAGTTAGGTAGATGACCATTGACATTTCTGAAGAATGTACTGCAGCCATCTTCAAGGTCAAAGAATATGCCATGGAAGCAACCAGCAGCAATAAGAAGGTAACAAGCAGAGTGAACTACATGTAGAAAATCAGGCCTGATACAAGCCACAAAGGAACTCCAAGGCAGATAATGGTAAAGCCCATCCACTCTATGAACCATGCTATGTCACATTTCATGTAGGCCATTTTACAAAAGATACATCTGGTGTAAAAGCATTTGAATTTCTCATCGGCATGTGAATACCAGAAGTGTGCTGCATGCTGCTATGTAGCAAAGTCACAAGACAATATCGGGCCTCCAAAATGCTTCACTGATACAGACTGTACTGAATGACTAAAATGAATAGCACACTTGTTTCCTTCATTCAGTGGTCTACCCACTGGCCCCACCAAGAAGGCCAATGGGCAAAAATCAAAGCTATTATACCATTGCTCTATCACAAGCTGCATGTTTCTACCTCAATGGAACACCCTGTAAAGCTAAGATTGTAGGCTGTAATTTAAACCTGTCCTCTGGTCTGTGCATGAGTAGTATGGAAAGGAGCAATGGGGCTAGGGGTGCAGCCGCATCATGGAATGGGGCGTGAAGTACTGAAACTTTGGTCCTAATACAATCCACACACACACACACACGCCACAGCCCTTATTTTGGTTACTGGACTCGGCCAAATCAAATGTAAATTCTTTTCTGAAGGGCCTGGAAAAATAAAAAAATGATCGGCCCCAAAAATAAACTCATTTTTCTTACGGTACATTTCGTAACTTTACGTGTAAAGCTAAAAAAATCAGGACGTTTATTAAGCTCAGTTACTCTAAGAAATTCGAGATCTGTTTCTTATTTGTACATGTAATATTTCCATCTGTTGTCTACCAACACAGAAACGTTATATCAGACTCCTGATATCTTTACTTACTCTGGCACCACTGGAGCTTCTACATGTACAAGTACTGGTGAGACAGGGTTTACCGAGCCGGGTGGCAAAGTTAAATTTAATTTGTTCTTGGACATGTTAAATGCAAACGACCAAACCGCCAGACTATAGTTCAATCTACATCCACAAATACAAACGAAGACTACATTCCATTGACACACCAAATAGCTCGAACAAAGCTTCAACGCACGTTCGAATTGCACTATGCGTATTGAACGCACTCCTGTCAGCAGTACCAACGGCAGATAAGTTCCCTGGGGCAGCCAGGCGCCGGCAGCCACTTTCAACTTAATTTACACATTACGGATTATTTGCACACACGTATTACTAACTGCAGCTAGACTGTTTACAGATTACTAGTCAAACATAGGCTTCGAACTACAATAAAAGTCTTCAATACTTTGATATTTAAATATTTAACACATTAATATTTTAACTTTATTTAGAAAATACGTACAATCTTAAGTCACCTTACACAAAAGAAGCATTACATAAAGCTTTCTTGCATGCATCCTGCTGTGTATCGTGGGACTAGTCAACACAACAAATATTTCAAAATAAAACAATATAATTGTTTGCATTGGTGACCCCGACAATACAAGAATAGTGGACAGCGGTCGAATAGAAGACCTTATGCAAAAGAACGTAATGCAGATACTGAATTTATAACGCGAACCACGTACCAGACGAGAATACCAAGACCAAAATGACTCAAACCAACACGATTCCGGTATTACAAGGAGCCCAGTACGAACAGAGACATCAAGAATTGACGTGCTTCTTCCGCCATTTTGGGCCGATAGACCAGCAGTTTGGTTCGCTCAAGGCGAAGAACAGTTCAATTTGGGCTGCATCGGTAGGATCAGTAGCGAGCAGACCAAGTTCTGCTACGTGGTCTCGCAATTGGACCAACATTACGCCTCGGAAGTAGATGCATCATCACTTCTCCGCCGAAATGCAACCCATACATGACACTTAGAACCGAACTGGTGATACGGCTAAACCCCTCGAAAGAGCATCGCATCCACGGGCTCCTTACACTAGAAGACATGGGCGACAGCAAACCATCCCAGTTTCTAATACACTTCAGAAGCCTCGCCCCAGACATGCCATACGACTTACTTCGCAACATGGGGTCCAACCGACTACCTTCCCATACAAGGGACGTCCTAGCAGGCCAAGCAAAGGACGACTTGGGACACCACAGCCCGCTGCGCTGATCGCTTTATACAAACCGCAACCCATCAGACACTCGCGAGTGTAACGCCACCCCCCGAGAAGAATAATACTAACAATAATTAATTCTGTAACACCTTGAACGTTGTATTGATACGTAACACTGAACTAGAACTGTAAACTTCAAAGTCAAAGTCACATTGTGACTGACGGTCAGTCAGCAAGTCTCGGTGTCGAGCCCCGTCTGGGGCTTATGACCAGATATTTATTACCTTCAACAGTTACGGTCTTGTTTCTGTGGGGCGCCCTCTCTGACGAGAGGATGGGTCAAGTCAAAGTCAAAGTTACATTGCGACTGATGGTCAGTCAGTAAGTCTTGGTTCGAGTCCTATCTGGGGCTCATGTCCAGATATTAATTATTACTGTTTGACAGTTACGGTCTTATTTTTGTGGGGCGCCCTCTCTGACGAGAGGACGGGTCTGTCTTTTGCATATGCTGCTGGCCCTTGTCAGCGCGGTCTTTCTCGGGTCTGAGTTCCTTGGGACTCGCGACCATAGTTTACTGTCTCAAATTTGAGACCTCCCTTTTCGTCACCTCCTACAACTAACAGGGTCACGGTGGAGGTCACTCAATGTATCTTCTTATATAACTTTTGTTAACAGAAGATGGAAGGTGTACGTGTGAAATTAAATCTAGGATTGCCATGGCAAAAGCTGCATTTAGCAAGAAGAAGAATCTTTTACCAGCAAATTGGACTTAAATTTGAGAAAGAAACTAGTGAAATGCTACATTTGGAGCATTGCTTTGTATGGGGCTGAAACTTGGGACACTTAGGGCAGTAGATCAGAAACACCTGAAATGTGGTGTTGGAGAAGGTTGGAGAAGATCAGTTGGACCGATTATGTGAGAAATGAAGAAGTGTTATTTAGAGTCAGTGAGCAGAGGAATATCCTACATGAAATAAGAAAACGGAAGGATAATTGGATTGGTCATATCTTACACGGTAACTGCCTTCTAAAAGAAGTTATTGAAGGAAAGATAGAGGGGCGGATATAGGTGATCAGAAGACGAAGAAGAAGACGTAAGAAGATGCTGGATGACCTTGGGGACAGAAGAGGATATTTTCATTTGAAGGAGAAAGCTCTAGATCGCATCAAGTGGATGAACTGTTTTGGAAGAGACTGTGGACCTGTCGTCTTGACAGATTACAGATGAATGAATGAATATAACCTAGAGTCAGACCTATAGAAAATATGACACTGTCCGTATTGTCTCAGGCTTTGCCTAGCACCGGCTGTTTAATTAGTCGTTGCTAGGCAGCGAATGGTTTCTAGCTTACGATTGGCTAGCACACGATCCACTGTGAATTGTACCCCAACTTCTTCTCCAGTTTCTGAGTAAATTATTGGTTTAAACTCTGTATGAAGAAGATAACAGTGATATCCTACAATGATTATTACAATCAGTTGTATTGCCCTTCTTGTAAATTGGTACAATAATAGACACCTTCCACTGCTAAGGCAATTCTTCCTTCTTCCTTCTTCCAAATAGAATTACTGAGTTTATGAACACGCGATTTATAACTTTTCAACTTTGCAATAGCATTTTCAACCTCAAATATACTAGGTTCAGGTACCAATGGCTCAGCTGTGTGTATTTCCATCTGCCTGGCATCACTAACCCTATGCACATTCAGTGGCTGAGAGAAGTAGTAAAGGTAAAGCTATCCCTTGACAGGCTGTGGAGGTCCATAAGACTGTGAAACATTGAGGCGCCCACATTTTCTAGATACTTGGTTCACAGATGGTGGTGAGGTCATCAACTTCATGTGCTGGCCACCCTTAACCTCCCCAGGTATATTCCTGGTACTCATTTCTGTTAGAGGCTGAGTCAACCCCAGGGCCAATGTGGCTGAAAGGATTAGGCCAATAGAAAAAAAAAAGCCAATGACCTCATTGGGAATTGAACCTGCGACCTTCTGGCTCGTAGCGTAGTGCCTCAATCAATCTACTATGGCAGGCATGTCCAACTTCAAACAGGTTCTGATCGACTTTTTAGTGTCAAAACTGCCAGTGATCTTCCACCCCCTCCTATCGTTGTACCTCACTTTAAGCAAAAATATTGGTAAAAATAACACAACACATGATGTTTGTTGTACAAGTAACATACATTGAAAGTACAGACTACTTTAATACGTATTTTCCCTTCAAAATCTGAATATAAGCATATTATATTACAAATTAATTTACATGCTTTTCATGTATAATTATAGGCCTATGAGATCAACAAAAAATCGTCCCGTGACTGACACATTGGACATGCCTGTACTATGGTACTGTGTACCCTGAGAGATGTAATTCTTCCACTTATTCAAAAAGTTGCTGGAATCTGAAGCAGATCACCATTCTCTTCCTTTACTAAGCAAGGAGTTGTTAGCCCCATGCCCAACTCCCAATCTGGAGGAAACCCCCTTGCTGGGTAATACTATCTGATACATTTGCTTCCCTCCATATCTGCAAGTCAAGGATTCACCATGCTGTGATGAGAAGGGACTCAATATGGCACCACATCCTGTGCATACTAATGCCTTTTCTTGATTTAAAACACTGGAGAATGCTGGAATTTTTAATCCTTCCTCAAAATGGGGTTTTCTTTATCACTGCTCCATCAGTTGGTACAACAGCTGGTCTTTCCTGGTAAAACCACTCTTAAAGAGTGCAGATTTCAAATCTCTGCATTTCTTTCATTCATTTTTATGCAGGCTGTCTTCAATCATATGTAACAGCTGGACCATACTTTCTCTTTGTTCTTCAGTATCATACACACAACAGTGTAGAAGTTAATCCATGCTGCCCCCCCCCCCAATTTTGCTTTCTAATGAGCCACTGACTCAACACTTACATTATTTCAAGTTTTGCATTCAAAGTCTCTTTTCAGCTCACTGCTACAGCTTGGATGAACTTAAGCGAGAACACAAACATAATTCCTTAAGAGGAAGTTCAGATGCCACAATGTATTGTACATTTCTCAGTGCATAAAGCTGTGGGGGTTAGGCTGGTTGCAGATTATACTGTAAACATTCTCCTAGACAAGAGTCGAACAGAGGGGGGGAGGAAAGGGAGGGTTAATGGGACCTTTTGATATTTATAGCCGTGAAATACCTCAGAGAAAAACTGCAAGTTTAACTGGTGCAGAAAGCTGCAGGAAAAGTGGCAGCCAGTTAGGTCAGATCATGTAATGAGGATGCAAGAAACATTTTGATTCATGCATCAGTTGTTCATATATGTAATGTTATGAAAGTGAGCATTCCTTTGGTACTTGTTGCTATAGTGAAGTCCCTGTTGTAACCAATACTCTTACTGTGGTTAGCCTGTAAGAGCCAACAGCATTAATTTTCTTTCAACTCTCTGGACTCCTACTTACATATCAGAGCATCTCTGCAACGGGAGGCCAGCCTACCATTTAAATAGTGATACAGATACCACACTGTTCTTTTAAGTTCTGCTATTTCTTCATGCTTTGTTTTTTCTTTCTATACAGAGGTATAACAATATCAAAATGAAAGTTAAGACATGCTTGCTGACAGGTCAACACAGGGACATTCTATGTGAAATGCGAGTCTGTGATTGGCTAGTACTATAACCCAGACCACATACGCTCACAGGCAATTCCATAATGATTTACTGCCCTGTTACATATCAAATGCCCAAAACCTGTGATTATAAAATAATGAAAAGCACAATAAAAAAAAAAAAAAAGTGTTTAATGCATAATAAATAAATGTATATCATTTTTACACAACACCTTTATTGGCATTTCTTTGAATTTTCAATACTCTGAACAATTATTCGGACTTCTATGTCTAATCTCTCATCATTTTTTCCTTCTGCCGTGCCAGTTTCTTCTTTGACACCTTTTTCTTTGTAGGTTCCTCTTCTGTGGCTTTTGTAACCACCTCCTCCTTTTCTGTCAGAACTACCTCAATGTGACATGGAGAACTCATATATGCTGTAAAGAACATTTTATGAGTATTAATGAAGTATAAATTAATATATATGAAACAAAGACAATACAATTTTAAAAACTTTCAAGTCAAATTACAGCTTTAATATTATAATTTAATACCCTGTTGATGTCAAGAGCATGCCCCACACTTGTCTCCACTGGTGCATAACAGCAATTTTTGGTTTCGAAAGCTAACATCTTGAAATGCAACGCTGCAAATTCAAGCACTCCAAGTTTCAGAAATAATGCAATTCTACTATATGATAGGTTAGATTCAAACCAAAGCAACCACACCATACTGGGCCTAATATAAATTTGGTTGGCTGGTACCTGCCACAATCTTTTTGCACGTATGAACCTGAGTTCAAAATCGTGAATCTCAAAATTTGTCTAAAATAATGCATTACCAGCACAAAAGAAAGCAATATTACATTATATGAGTACACTAATGGCTTAATTAAGAGCCAGAAGTACAGTGTCTGACAAAAAAATGGCGAGGTTTCATGAGTCTGTCTCTAAATATACAAAAGGCATCAAACTGAATTCTACACATGTAAATTTCTCCAATCACACAGTTTCACAAGCGACCACAAATGGAATACATATTTTGTTTTATCATTTTCAAAATATATCTTACATTTCTTCTACACCTAATTTCAGTATTAACCCATACATTTCAGAAACAGGGTTATCTCCATTATACTTCACAGCCATACATTTTCAAACTCCTGTGATGAAAAATGAATATACTTTTTAATATTTAGAAATTTGGTGTCCATTTTCTCATAAACTACTTGAGTCATATTTACCATACCAAGCCCAAATATAAGGATTAAATATTTACAGAATTAAACACTATAAAACTTACGATTTATTCTTCCATGGGCTCTGTAAGTCCTCCTCCTGAGACAAGGTGCCCGATTCACTTGGATGTGCTCAATAACCAAGCGATCAACATCTAATCCCTTGCCATCTGCATTTGATTCTGCATTCTTCAACAGCTGCAGCAAGAATTCAGCAGATTTCTTGGGCCAACGGCCTTGTGTTGTTTTCCACTGTTTGGCCTACAGAGGCAACATATATATGAATTACAGTGCTGTAATTATGTAATGGTATGTTATGGCGTGTCGAAGTCTGTAACTGCTAATTAAGTTGCAGGCCCAAAATTATTAGACTACTGTATTTGAAGTATATAAGCTCTAGACATAGGGAGATAGCCCCATTCTTACATTCAGAACATTATTTAAGGTCATACTTGCTAGGCGAACAGGATGTAGCCATCTGCACTTTTCCTGGAAATTTTGTTAAGTCTGACACGACGGCAGAGCTTTGGAAATTGATACCAGACATCTCAGTCGAGCAATAAATGTTAGGAAGGAATGCCAGCTACACATGCTATGAGCAGAGGGCATTTGATGTAAGAGTCAAAATCATGTAGCAACTTTTGTTGATTGGCAATGAAAATTTCTGTCAACTCTTAAGTTTTAAACTATACCAATAAGGAAGGTGTATGGGAGGCTCTTTAGAGAGAAGCTGAGGGTTCTGAATACCTGACTGCATCAGAGCAGGGGAAGTTCCGCAACAGATTCTGAGTCTGACTTCCAAAACATGTGAAGACAAAACATGCTCCTCAGAAATTCTAAATTAATGTATCAGAAGCATGTTTATACTAAATCATTACAAGATTATGGTGCAAATTTTGACCATAAATTGAACCTAAATTGCCACAGTGTGTTTAACACTATTAAAGTGGAACTGCAATTCATAAAAAAACTACAAATGAAAGATACACATAACCTCATATTTAATCTAATCAAAAAACATATTCCACATAATAATAAACCACTCACTAACCCACCAACCCACCTTCCCACATCACCTAAAAAGAGTAAAAAAAGAAAAAGAAAACCTACCCCATCCCTCTCCCCCACTCTCCCATACACTATTCCTGTCTTTACTTAGCACAAACCTGTTCATTCTCATTAACGTAACCAGACACATCACAACATCAGCAGCAACTAAGTCACGCCACAACACGCAATTACATAAATTAATAATATATATGCACCAAGTAGTCATAATTCCAATTTACATTACATTAACATCACTTGGAACCCACTTTTCCAAAAACAGCACAATAAACAAACTCCACACAATAAGCCACATGCCCATGTTGCTGCCACTATTGGTGAAGGATATGCAAATAGTGAAAGCAAAGTATGTAAAAGTCCATACAGCAATAGAGAGCTTCTATGCTTAGTTATATTGCATTCAACAGCATTGGACCAATTATAAACATCCTGGGGCTAATTCCTATCTTATCTCTGTGCAAATGCACTTACCTGTGCACATCGTCCAACACCTCCATTGAATCGTCGAAATGGAACACATTCTTTATGCTCAATGACATTTTTCAAATACCGCACAGCACGTCTTAACGCCATTCTTCTCAGGGTCATTGCTGTTTCCCTGGTATTCTACAATAAAACAGCAGTGTAAACATAAAACTAGAGATCCCTATCCCGAAGTTCAAGCTTCGAGAAACACATCAATTATATTTCAAATAGCACAAAAAGGGAAGTCTCAAATCTGAAACAGTAAAATATGGTCTAGAGTCCCAAGGGACTCAGACCCGAGAAAAAACTGCACTGACAAGGGCCAGCAACATATACAAAAGGCAGACGCATCCTCTCGTCAGAGATGGCGCCCCACAGATACAAGACCATAAATACCAAACACTAATAAATATCTGGTCATGAGCCCCAGCCGGGGCTCGACACAAAGACTTACTAACTGACTGACTGTCAGTCGCAATGTGACTTGGACTTGGTATTACACAGTATACAGGCGTGACCCTTTAACAGGTAACCAATACGAACATTATTAAATCGCAAATTATGGTGGGTGGATGAGCAATATAACTTAGAATGGCTGTTGCATCTAGTACCTATTGACAAAGCTGTATTCCGATGTACCTAAATCATTGTCATGATTTTTTTTTCTATTTTATCAAAATTTAATTATTTTCTCCAAAATAATGTAATCAACTATCTCCACACACAAAAAAAAGTGTGGGCACACTGAATACGCCGAACTGATTTCCAAAATACGACTGATTTCCTGGGCATTACCCACCAGAGAATCTGAAAATTCAACAACTTCAAGGCCTACTTTTCAGTTGCTGTATCTTCTTATCGTGATATTTTGGTGCTTCTAATGTTGCTGAAATTGCTTTTGGCAGATTATAACATTTTCCAGTTATGTACATAATCTTTAGATTACCTTGAAATGTACTCGAAGATTTGACCCACGGGCCTTACACGACTTCGTAGCATTATCAGGCTCATGAGAATACCGGCCCATCTTTACTCTAAACAGAAAGAATATCACAAGTTAGCAAGAGTTTCGGAAAACACGGTTAAGTCTGCCTACATATGTAGTTCTTTCACCAAAACTTTAGAACAAAATTATGGAAGAGAACTTCTATATGTTGAAATAATTATAACACAAGAAGAAAAGCGATCTTTAAAAACCCGATGGGCTACGATTTATATAAATATGTACATACGAACAAGATTCCAATACTTCAACAACCGGAAAGACCACGAATACGATCGTATTGACTGGCAACGTATCCGTCGTGATGTCACGATGGCATCAATGCAACCTCTATATTCAACTGTAAGTATGTTGCTACAAAATGGCCGCCGCCAGTGCCGAGGCTATGGTCGGTAAGAAGTTGCGCTATCATAGCACCATCCTATGCGTGATGCTCATCATCCGGTATCACAAGTTCACACGAATAGCAGCACATAATTTTGCAAACCTGATCTCTTATACAGCAGAAACATACCACATACCACCTGTCTCTACTGCAGCACCTATGTACTTCAGTATTTGTACACTCTCAGGAACTTCATCAAGAGTTTCCTTGCCATGACTTGTGGAGGAATTTGGTGAAAAAGCATCAGGAGCCCTGAGCAACGATTGTAGGTTATCCAGAAGAGTAGCACCATCATCTTCACAATCAGTTCTCCACAGACTTATAAAAGTAAGGCCACTGATGACGTTAGCCTTCAGGGCATCTACAAACTGTCATAGAGTTGGGTTATTGTTAGAACCACAGTCTGAATGAATAGCTCCAAATATGTTCTCAAGAGGATCCTGATTCAGGTTTTGGGTGGGAAGGTACTTAAAACCCGTCCCGTTCAATGTCCTCCACACATTCTTGATAGCAGTAATGTCAATTAACCACCCATTCTGTATAGGAGAACAATGAAGGAGGAAGGGGATTTACCATCTTTCAGGAAGATCTAATTATTTATCCCCAAACTCGCTTTTGTCCAATAATCTGTATGGGAATTGCTATTGTGGAATGAGCAATGCAACGTTTTCCCTAGGTTAACGTGCGTTTCCCCACTGAAGCTATCAAAGAAGTTGTCAACCTCAATAAACACAGCTGTTGCCAGGTATTCACTTCAGCACCCTCCTGAAAAAAACATTAAAAAGGAAATTAGTGGGCTTCCTAACATGGTGGACTACCATATTTCTTCACATTGATAAATGATATATTACTACACAAAGGACTGTCATTATAAGGAAACTGCACGTTTGATTACATCATTCCTCATAGTAAAGTCTTTGCTACCTTATTCTCTCATATATTATATTACTGATTTTCAACTTTCAACTTTCAACTTTATATTCGTCCATAACTGAGTTGAATACAATTGGACATGTCAAGAAATAATAGCGGATACACCACATTTCAAAGTCACATAAAATTTACACAGTGATTTATCACTATAATATAACTGTTATAAGAAATATAACAATAAAAAATACATAAGACCAAAAGAAGGATGCCAGTAATATAAAACATATAAGCACAATATTAAAAATTGCAAACCAAAAGACAGTCCACAAGCTAGTCATCTATCCAACATTAGTTGAAAAACTCTTGAAGAAAGTAGAAAGTGCTGCACAGCAAATAATTTTTGAGTTTCCTCTTAAAAGCATTCAAATTTTTAACGCTTTTCAATTCAAGGGGAAGACCATTAAATATTTTGCTGACCATCTATGTGATGAGCCGTGTCAAAGGTTCTTGTGATGACGTCATGCCTTCCAGCCATGTTAATCGCGTCTTCGTACCGTGCCCTTGACCCTACCCCTTCTCCCTGTCTGTGGAGTGTACCACGTGGGATTCCGTTTCCTCCCCCCATCTACCCCTGTAAGTCTCGGAAGAGGCCAGCTATTGAATCTTGAGCGATCTTGAGGATCTTGAGCACTCGCTTGTTGGATCCACGGCATAGCAGACGTACGCTGCCAGCGGGGGTAATTGTTAAATTCTGTTTCGGCTAGGGTATTCTAAATCATTATGTCTGGCTGTGTGTGCGCTGGCAATGCACGTCGGGGGTTTGGTCACATCTGCTAGCCAGTAGGTTTATTGGGTGGCAGCAACGGGGCCTTAGATTAATTTTGAGTTGTATTTCCTTTCAAGGAATCGCCTGTGGAAAATCAATAGTCAAGGTTTACTTTGTGCATGCTGATGTGGAGCGATGGTAAGCAGAGTTACTAGGGCAGTGACCTTGGGCACTTAATGCAGTGACTGAAGGCTTCTGATGCAAAACTGGAGGCCCATAACAAAGGTTGCTTTACTCGATGACCACTGCATTGCATATTCTTCAGTGGAGCTTAGAAATTCTGAATTGATATTCTTATCACCAAACACTGCCAGTGTTTTACAACTTTTGGATCAAACCCCTATAATAGTTCTGGGGGGAATGCTCAAAAGTCCCATCATAAGATGATTAGCAATTGTTAACACCACATTGCCAAAATTTAATGTGCCAGATGCATTGAGGGCCCTTATGACTTGGGCCAAACTCTCTCCCCTGCATGTTACTGCTTGCTTTAAATATGCAGGAGTTTTTAAATGAGATGGTGTATCAAGTGACATCACAGATCTTGACAAATTGTAACAAAATGACCTGGAAGGGTGAGATGAAGTGTGACTCACATACATCATCCATGCACTTTCCTGGACTACACAAATATCAACAAGACACTGCCGATATGTATTTTTCTTTATTGTTAGTGAGGTGAGTCCCTTGTACTGCAGCCACTTCTGGCATATTGTACCAGTCCCAGATGATAGGTGAGGGTGATTGTGGAGCAATTGGTGGAATGAAGATTGGCAGGGGAAACTGAAGTACTCAGAGAAAACCTGCCCCAGCGCCACTTTCTCCACCATAAATCCCACTTGACAAGACCGGGGATCGAACCCAGGCCGCCTTAGTGGGAAGCCAGCAACTAACCGCTTGAGCTATGGCGTGGCCATATTGCCTATATGTACTTGTATGTGAGGAATTGACTGAGGAAGACAAGGAAAAGTGTACAGATGCCCGAGACAACTACAGTTCAATGGAGAAGAAAAGTCTACCTCAGTCAGCAGTTTTACAAGCACATGGAGTAGAAAGTAACATCTGCAGAGCAAGCAGTACTGGAATTGCAGGACATTCAGAGAAATTGTAATATGGAGAAATTTGCTGTTCCAGCAGTGGCAAAGAAAAAATTTAAAGCATACGCAATTATGTGAAGTTGGATATAGTGAAGGACTATGGGCTGGACAGCCAGTTTTCAATTTCTGTCAGGGGAAAGAGATTTTTCTTTACTCCACAGCATCCAGACCACCTCTGGAGCTCACCCAACCTCCTAGTCAATGGGTACCTGAGGTTCTTTCCATGGGGGTAAAATGGCTGGAGTATGTAGCTCACCACTCCATATAGAGCCATCTTCATGATGCTTAATTACTGGTCACAGAGGCCACACAGTCTAATGCGTGAACTGTCTTCTCTCACTTGAACACTGGAATTATGAGTTCAAATCCTGCTCAAGGCATGGATGTTTGGTGTGTGTGTTTATTCTGTGTTTGTGTTGTCCTGTGTTTAGGTAGCGGCATTGCAACAGGCTGATCACTCATCCAAGGAGTCCAACCATCTGTGAAAAATAATTACAGCATTGAATAATAGGCCAAGGCCCTGATGGGCTGGGAAGAGCCATTGAAAAAAAATGCTTAATTTAGTTACGCACATGGACACCTTTACAATGCATATTTATGTATTCTTCTCCACAGTGCTGTAAATGTTCAACAGGAGTGCAGTGTGAACACCATGAACAGTGCACAAATTATCTATGCATTATTGTAAGTACGTACATGGCAGGGACTCTACATGCTTGAAGCACCTTGGTTTCTCCAACTTTTGTGACCCGCAATGACTTTTTGTAAATCGATTCATTCTGTATATAAAAGCACAGTACCTCAAGCTTTGTGTTACTTCTCATGCTATCATGATAGTTTTCAACTTTCTGGCCATGTTTTGCCCAGGAGTATGATGAAAAATAACCTTTCTCTATCTGAATTAAATATGTTCTTTGGGTTATATTTGTTCAGAAGAGATGGAAGTACACCTGTTTTTCAGGTCTCTTATATCCTCTTCATTTATACTTTTGGACACCTAATTCATTGTTCTGTAGTTTAATCCTGCACATTCTGTAAATTGATCAGGCTCTCCATTTCATGGCGTAAATTCAGTAATAGTTGCATTACTGTCAGACAAAATAAAACAAGATGCCATGGGATCTTAATGGAAATAATAAAACTTAGACAAAACGTGACATTTACGAGAAGAGGGGTGACTTCACAGCCATTGTGTGACAGGACCAAAGGGATCTTAAATTCTCCTCCATCAGAAGGTAACTGCTGTAATGAGTATGAAAATGTCTTGAAACCAGCCATGTTAGGACATTGCAGCACATGTATGGGGTATGTGGACAGGAGTGGCCACATGATAGTCACTCCATTAGCAGACAAACCTGGAAATCAAACAAATAACTGTTTTTCCACCTCCTACACCTGTCGGTTCTGGATATTCATCTCCCTAATCTCTTGGGTTCAGGACCGGGAGCTGGTGCTGAACAGATTGTGAACTCTTCTGCTGAGGATCTACAAAATTTACATTCACATGATGTTGTTGTTCTTAATGCTGGTGCCAATGATGTATATAAGAATAATAAGGGAGTAGCTCTAACCCAGATCACTAAGTTTATACAAAGGAACTATGGTACTAATATTATAATTTTAGATATCCCTCAGAGATATGATCTTTCATCCTCTTCATGTGTGAATTCTGAAATTGAAGAATTTAATAGACAATTGAAGAAAATTGCTACTTTATACAACCATGTCTCACTCTTAGAAACAAATCTCAAGAGAGAATGTTTCACAAAGCATGGTCTTCATTGGAACTCTCTAGGAAAGACTCTGGTAGTGAAACTCATATCCATGCAAATTAATAAATTACTGAGAAAAGAATTACCAACTCCAGTCAATCTTACTTGGATAGATAATGCCTTGTTGGGTAATGTAGATAGCTGTAGTGAAGGGATGATACCTTTATCTGATAATTTAAATGTAAGTATGGATAGTGAGAACACAGTGAGTTGTAATGAAGAGATGATAACTTTATCTGATAATGTAAATATAAGTATGGATAGTGAGAACATAAGAAATAGTCTGACCCAATTGAAAAAGTCTGACCCAATCTTAATGAAAGGGAAGGATGAACAAGAGCTGGAGGAGGAAGGGACTCATATTCCATG